TAAGAGCTGTGAAGGATCCAAGATAATTATAGGCAAGAGACACACCAGAAAAGAGGGCCTTCTCCAAGCCCTCTGCAAAATGTAAGTTTAACTTAAACCCTTACTAGGACTTAAATGGGACATAGGACCTCCTGGAGTAGGGTGAATTTCACATTAGAAGAATTCCTTCAAACTTGTAAATCAGCTCAAGCACACTATGTCAAGCTCTTACCATGTACAGACAATGGGTTAGCAGAAAAGTCAGTACAAATAGAAAAGACCTTGACACAGACCAAAATAAAACTCTAGCAGATTCAGGAGATCCATATTTAACACTGTTAGAATGTTGAAACACATCACACGGTGCTTCATTGGTTTAACACTCATAGGCAGCAGAATAAAACCTCCTAGTGCCAACTTCTAACAAGATTCCGGAGCCAAAGACAACTAACTCTAAAGTAGTTACAAAAGAAACTAAAACAGAATACAACATCAACAAGTAGAATGCCAAAGAGTTACCACAACTACAAGTGGAAGAGAATGTTAGATTAGAAAAAGAAAACACTTCTCAGCCTACCAAGGTAACTGCTATGCTAGCTGCACCAAAGTCATATGACAGCTATCCAGGAGGAACAGAAGACATGTAAATAAAACCAAGGAAGACAATGGCTCTGCCTTTTGTTGACATCGAGATAGTTAGTGACTATAATCATGCAGTGACAAAAAACACAGCACAAGCCCACGCAGGCACTGACAATGAAAAACAACGGGAGCAGCAAAAACCTCAGATCCCAGTGGCGAACAGAACAATGCAAAAGGAAATGTCCTGAGAACACAAGATCGTGGGATCAGGAAGCCACTGAAGTTCAGAGGCAGCAGTTTTACTAACAGACAGTCAAGGAAAGGTAGAATATTCTTCTTGCATGGTAGGGGGACCAGGTTTTCTACGCTGATCTCCATGCCACACAATTTTATTTGCTTTATTAATTAGCTGCATCGGCTTTTGGATTACTTTTTTACATTTGCAATTTGGGGTTTTTTTGTTTGTTTACACTTAAATGGCAAGATATACAGGTCACCACTGGAGGCAATGGATACTGCCCTCTGCCATTTGACAGATAAATAAAAGCTTTTGAACCCATGACCTGAGTCATGTGAGTGGGTCAGAAAATAAAGATCAGACGCTTGTGAGCCCTCCTGTGTGTCATATTGTTATCATGCAGGGAAAGTATGTTACATGCCATGAAAGGGTAAAGCAACAGGTGTCCACACTACCCCTAATTCTGTGCAAATTGGACATAGCCAAATCTAGCCTTCTAAATTTACATCAGCATTACTGAGTGCATAATTGGGTTCCAGGATTTAGCTCATAGAAAGCCTCTCAATACAGTCACCTTTAGCATAAAAATAAAAAAGAAACCACATAGTGTGCACAAAATTAAGGAACTAACAACTTCTGTGAGTAGTTAGAAATGGTCAGAAAGAAAATATTTACTCTAATGGAGTTTCATCCATTAAACTATGGAAAGAAGCCTTTATGCGTTAGATTCATTTTCCTGACTCTCTTTAAAAAGAAAAACTGTAACATACATCTGTGACCTAGCAACAATATGGTTTGAAATAGTTTCCAGATCATTGAACTGTGCAATACCTTCAAAAATGGGATGACAAAAGGTCGCAGTGGGAAGTTAGTAGCTTCTTGCAGTTTGGAATGAAATTCTTCAATTGTCAAAGTAGAATTCTGTAGAAGGAAAAAAAATTCTGTCTTGGTGACATAAACAATGAAAACGCTTAACAAGAGAAATATTAGCCAAAATATTCTGTACCAAAATTTTGCTTAATACCCATGTTCCTCCTAATGCAATATCAGAAAATTATGCATGTTACAGAGTAAGTAAATGTACTCATCTAAAAATATAGATGTAACTACATCTGAACACAGTTTCACTGCAGTGGGAGTGAATCATTTTACAAACAATCCATTTATTAGGTATATAAAGAGCAGCACTGAACTCTCAGATATTCATTGTCCATGACTTGAAGCAAGGGCTTGAGCATCCATAGTGCCAAGCATTTCTTATATGGTGATAAACACCCTCATTTCCCCTGGATTTCAAAGAGTTAAGGGTGCTTGCTATTCAAACAGAATTTGCCTAATCCACATAGAATAGGAGGCACCATGGCAGCACAAACACAATTGTTAAATTTAAAATGGTGCCCACTATATTTTAATTCTCAGTAGAGGATTGGGAAGTAACAGGAGCATATTAACATATGTATTATAGGTGTAAATAATTCACTTTTTAAGGACACTTATTCCTCATCCGTTGGCAAATATATCTCAAAATTACTAAATCGCATCTAGGATTATATCGTACATTAGACAACCATACTACACAGAATTATTTACTACTTACATTCACTTGTACCTGTGCAAACCCAAGCAAGGCAGTTCAGAGTGCAGGGAAATCACAAAGTGCAGGGAAATCACTGAAGGCATAATTTGAGGACAATGGGCTGCACAGGTCTAACTGAATAAGCAGTTATTCTGTTATAGGTGGTGAGGTTTAAGAAGGAAAGGTCCCAGCTAGATTCCCAGAGCACAGATGACGTTTGGCAAGTTAGAAAACAGTGCTACTTATAAACAGAGGAGCACATCTGATAAGGAAATCATTGAGAAACAATAACATGGAATCCCACAAAACCACCCTTAGGGTTCCATTTTTCAAAGCAGAATCACATAAGTAAGCCTAAAATTGAAGCAGTAGTTACTAAGAATGGAGAACTGTCACCTTCAAGCACACATTCACCAGATGCTCATTACATTTTACAGACTTGGACTCCACTGTTATTGCCAGTTACCTCAGCCCATGCAAGACAATTTCCCTGGCACACAGCTAATCCTACATTTCCACTGAAGTCAATGGGAGTTTTGGGTATGCAACTAAATTCAGAGTAGGGCTCCTTGCAAGTCATGGAAGCGTAACATTTAAGTTGCACTGTCTAAGGTGCATTTTTAGTTCATAGTTATTGTTGGTTTGTTTATTTGTCATGGTACTGACCAGATTTTTTTAGAACTGTACAAAAACATATGTGTGACATATGTGGTCTGATATTCAGCGGTGGTAGCACTCGCAGCTCCAGATGAAGTCAGTGGCAACTCAAGTGGTAACATCTGGAAATCAGACCACGAATTTTATTTTCTAGTATATCCAAGCCCTGCTGAATGAGCTATATAGATGTACATGGGAGGCAACATTGTCAGTGGCAATAAGAAGAAACCTGGGTTCAATTTCTAGTGCTGTCACAGAATGGCAAGTGATTATGGGCAAGTCATTTAACCGCTCCGCATTTTAGTTTCTCTGTCTTTAAACTGGGAAAATTATTCGAAATGTACAGATAAACAGCATTGTAAAAAGTATTATTTCTACATACCAGGAATTCCATACAAATACCATAATAAATAACATGATATACAACTGCAATACACTGGCTTAGCACATTAAATCCCTCTTGCAGTTGGCCTAAGTGACTACAGGTCTTCGCTGGACAGGTCTATGCGAGAAAAGGTTATAAGAATACCAGCAAATCCTCCTACTGTACATTAAGCTTATATTAGCAAAAATGGTTTTTCTAGTACAGTAGAACCCCTATTTTACAAACTAATTGAAGGTTGAGGAGATCATAAAAATCAAAAAGTTCATAAAATTAAGCATCTTAGAATTACTGTAGGCATGGTATATACCTTGCAGTATGGTGTAATGCACTGCCTTCTTCTCCTCTTCTTGTCTTTCAAACCACGGCAAAGCAATTTTCAATACACTGAACACATGCTGACTTTTTCCTTTAGCGACAGCACTTTTGTTATGCAATTTTTTCATCATTGGAAAAAATGGTTTGTATAACTGGCCATTCGTAAGACTGGTGTTCATAAAATCGAGCTTCTATTACAGGGGTTCTCAAACTTAATTGCCCCGCGACCCCCTCCTGACAACAAAAATTACTACACAACCCCAGGGGGAACTGAAGTCTGAGCCCACCCAAGCCCCACCGCCCGGGGCAGGGGAGGGCCAAAGCCAAAGCCTGAGCCCCTCCGCCCCTGGTGGGGGGAAAGAGGGGGCAAAGCCGAAGCCAAAAGGCTTCAGCCCCAGGCAGAGGGCCTGTAACTTGAGCCCCACTGCCCAGGGCGTGGGCTTTGGTCCCAGGTGGAGGGGCTTGAGCTTTGGCTTTAGCCCCAGGCCCCAGCAAGTCTAAGCCAGCCCTGGCGACCCCGTTAAAATGGGGTCGCAACCCACTTTGGAGTCCCTACCCAGAGTTTGAGAATCCCTGTTCTATTATATAGTTTATACAGATTTCCATGCAAAATAAGCTATACTGTCAAAAGCATTTTTATACCAGTATAACTACTTGACATACGTTTTTTGCCAGTATAGACAGGTTTTAATGTATTTATTTATTTTAAATCATACCCCTAACTGAAATTACTATACTGGCAAAAGTTTCTAATGGAGACCTGGGCTGAAACAGACTACTACTTACTGACAGCTAGTGGATTTACTTCTATTAGCTCTAATGGCAGAGTGCAGGGAGGCAGGTTCTCCTGGTCCCAAGTTCCATACTCCCAGAATAACCACAGTGCATGCATGCATCAACTGTTTATTACACAACTACTAATACATCTTCCAATTTTTAAAGTTAAAACCTACTATGAACAAAAAAAGATAATAGTCACTGTTATTTGCTTACCACAAGTCCTAGCACAAGGGTACGTACTCTCTCCCCAATCTCTGGTGAAATGTCATTGCCAAACTGCTGTAAGGTTGTAAGAAATCTCTTCAGTTTGCTGAGTTGCCTTGCTCCACAAGCTGGTGGTAACTGCTGATTAGCCAGAGAGGATGAAGAGGAAGATGATGGCCCATTGCTAAAGCCATTAGGTGGAGATGGAGCTCCATTTAATGCTGTTGGTGAATGGCTAGTGCCATTGGTTACTGGTTAGAAAAAAATGGAAAGAAAGAACATTTATAAGTTTAACATGTTCTCTGTTTCACCTTAAAATTGATTGCGTAACTGTGAAAATATGAAGTAGGTGATATTTTGACTCCATTGGTATAATTAAAGATAATTAGTCTTGATAGAATGACTCTCCACAGTTCATGTATCTTGCACAGAAGCTGGTAATGGATCTGGACAGCACTAGCTCCCATATGCACACGTGTCAGACACCTGACATGTTTTCAGACCAGAACAAACATCATTTGGAGGTCAGTCTTTTGTCATAGGCTTATATTAGTGTAACATTTTTTAAAAATAAACTTCTCTGGAAAGAGTGCACACATATTTAGTGGAGGCTAAATTTATCTGAACATTTTTTATCATGTTTTGTACACACACCCGACAGCTGTGTTTATAAAAACAGGACTTTCAAGTTTTAACCTTATGCCACCCAATTAGAAGGCTATTTTCTCTCACACATATTTTATAGCCACTAACATACAGAAAGATGGATTTGTATAAAAAGGTACAACTGGTGCAATGTTCACTGTGAATTTATTGTTAAGATTGAAGGCTTGTAGCCAAGTCTCTGGACTGGGCCTTGGGAATAGATATGGATTTTTTTCCCTGGCTCTACCTCAAGACTTCCCACGTGGCCTTAGACTTAGCCTCTTCACATCTCAGTTCTCCTTCTATAAAACAGGTCTGACATACTTCCCTACTTCGCAGTGCTGTTGTGTGGAACATATTAAATGATTGTGAAGTGTTCTGATTTTTTAGTAATGGGGGCCATGTAAGAACCTTAGACAAATATTATTATCATATTATTATTAATGATAAAATTAGAGGCTAGAACTCACACATATTTAAGAGAGAAGGGGCACCTGCTTTAGTGTTGCTATGCTAGCCTGTCTAGTTTTGAAATTCTTGTTCTCATTCTCCAGAAATGTACCAAATTAAGGCCATCTTTTTCCCTATACTGCCTTACTCGAAAACAGTTATCCAGGCAGAGTGTAACTGCTGTGGGTTTCCTACTTTAATAGCCAGAACAGCAGAAGATGAGTTTTGGGGCAAGGGATGGGCCACATATTTTAGGGCAGATGGGCCCCAACTGGGATACCCTACCTTCTTGAGCAGATTACACTAGCATTTAAGCAACAGCCCTTAGCAAAAGTTAGTGCAGAACAGCTGTGCCCTGGACGAGCACAAGAGACTGTACCTGCCAGAGCACAGTCTCTGGTGAAGCTGTTCCTCACACACAGGAGTGAACAATATATTCCATCTAGTGCAGTGGAACCAGGGCCATCCTTAGGCATACGCAGCATACGCGGCTGTGTAGGGCACCCGAAAATTTGGGGCACCCCCGTTTCTTAGTGTCCACCCTCCCACCTCTTCCTATCCCTGTTCTGACCATTGCAGGCTCCCACCACAGCTGGCTGCTGCAGCCTGGTGAGTCTTCCTCTGGAGGGGATCTAGTATTTAAAAGTAAAAAAGCCTTCCAGCCTGCCAGACCTATTAGCACACTGAAACTGTTAAAGAGCCATTCAAGTGGTAATGAAGCCATTTAACAGGCATTTGCCAAGCCCCAGATAAAAACTGTCAGTTTCTGAATTTGCTGACAAAAACAGTTGTGCATTACTGTAATATTAACTCAGAACATGTTAGTCTACAGGATCTTAGTTTAAAATTTGCTTTAAAAATATTTCATTAGTGTGTTGCTGAAGATTATAAAATCACATATCTAAAAAATCCTTGCATAGATTTTTATATGCACAAGCTGAGTATTCATCTTTAGTCTTAAATGCTTGGATCTTCAGACGTATAGTTTTTTAAATAAATCCTTCAAAAAACCATCCTCATCTAAAATACACATGCGAGCCTGGGCTGCCATTGGGCAGAAACAACAAGGAGTCTGGTGGCACCTTAAAGACTAGCAGATCCTTGTTGTTTTTGTAGATACAGACTAACACGGCTACCCCCTGATACTTGACACCATTGGGTAGAGGGGCACAAGTTTAATAATACTGCATAGGGCCCCATAAAACCTAAGGATGGCCCTGGGTGGCACAGACAACGTGCCAGACATGCTCTATGGACCAATGTAGTGGCAGAACAGGGCCATTTGTTGATTCTTCTGCTGAGCGGGGGCCACTCATATTCCAGCCTTTAACAACAACCTTTCTTTTGCAGAATCAATGCACCCCCATAGCCACCCAAAAACTGAACAAGCCCCGAATTTGGCCCGTGATGTACCATAAAACATTCTTCCACAAATAACAAATGGAGAATCACCTACATGGGAGGATATAAAATTAAAAAATGACAGGTGGCTGCTCACTGAAAACACTGAACAGACAGACTGGTGACACACTGAGCTCACTACTCTCTAGAATACAAACATTATTTTAACATTTTCTTAGCCACTGGCCTCTCTCAGGCAGTGCCCTATAAAAACATGCCAGCCCCTCTGTTACTTAGGCCATGTCTACACTTACAGGTAGATTGGCCCTGCTGTGATCGATGCAGCAGTGTCGATTTAGCAGGTCTGGTGAAGACCCGCTAAGTCAATGGCAGAGCACTCTCCCATTGACTCTGGTATTCTAGGTACCCAAGAAGAGTAAGGTAAGTCGACCTAAGCTACGTTGATTTCAGTTACGTTATTTATGTAACTGAAGTAGCGTAAATTAGGTCGATTTACTGCGGTAGTGTAGACCAGCCCTTAGTAACAGCGAGTTATCCTCTCGCATAGCCATCCCTATTTCTTGATCACAACTCTTCTTTCACCCATTTTGAATGCTGCCAACTCTCACTAAATTTCAGCAAATTTACCACAATTCTGTGGCATTTTCAGAGTGATTTCTGTCCAAGCAGTAGATATAGCAGCAGTTCCATTTTGAGAACACTAGATTCTTAGATTCCAAGGCCATTGTTATCAGATTGACCCCCTGTATAACACAGGCCATAGTATTTCCCCCAAATAATTCCTAGCCTTTAGAAAAACATCCATTCTTGATTTAAAAATGGTCAGTGATGGAAAATTCATCCAATGGTTAATTACTCTCACTGTTAAAAATTTATGCCTTATTTCCAATCTAAATTTGTCTAGCTTCAACTTCCAGCCACTGGATTGTATTTTACCTTTTTCTGCTAGACTGAAGAGCCCATTATTAATTATTTGTTCCCCAGGTAGATATTTATAGACTGTAATCAAGTCACCCCTTAATCTTCTTTTTGATAAGCTAAATAGATCAAACTCTTTGAGTCTATCACTATAAGGCATGTTTTCTAATCCTTGAATCATTCTTGTGGCTCTTCTCTGAGCCCTCACCAATTTATCAACACCCTTCTTGAATTGTGGACACCAGAACCAGACACAATATTCCAGCAGCAGTCGCACCAGGGCCAAATATAGATGTAAGATAACCTTTCTATTCCTATGCGAAATTCCCCTGTTTATGCATCTGTAGCGGGATGGTCACCCGCTCCTGCCCTGAGGGGTTTAAAACAGCCCTGGAGGAGGGCTGTGGAAGGGCAAGATGCCTGGGCTGATTGGGAGGAAGCCGGCTCAGCTGGGGCCACGCCCCAATCAAGGCCCAGCTGGCCCTATAAAGGCTTGAGCCAGGAGATCAAGCAGACAGAGTCTCTCTCTGACTGGAGAGGGAGACAGGCCTGGCTGCTGGAGAACTCACCTGGGGACCTAGAGTGAGGCAGGGCTAGGGAAAGGCCTTAGGAGCTGGGAAGCCCTAGGCCAGCAACTCCCCAGGCTGCAGGGCCTAGTCTTAGGCCCACCTAGGTATTGGGCTTGCAGAGGGGCAGCCTGAGGGTGGGTAAAGGCAGCCAGTCCAAACCCTTTTGCCTATGATGAGTGGCTGAGGTACTGCAGTCTGCCTCAGTGAACGGGGACTAGATGGAGACTGGGCAGTAGCCAAAACTGAGGCGAAGTGGGGATGGTGGGTGGGGAAACCCAAAGAAAGTGGGGTACTGCCAGGGGGGGCAGCACCCAAGACAAGGGCACTGGGGGTCCTGGGAGGGACACGGGGGTCAATGGCAAGCGGATCACTGGCCTGCAGAGGGCGCTCCTGGGTCAAAGAGCTAATTCCTGAGGACGACCAGTAAGGGGTGCCGCAGGAGTGAGTCTGAGCTGTGTTAAAGCACCCCAAGATCATATTAGCTCTTTTAGCCACAGTATCACACGGGGAGCTCATGTTCAGTTGACTATCCACTACAACCCCCAAATCTTTTTAAGTCACTGCTTCTCTGGATAGTCTCCCATCCTGCAAATAATGCCTATATTCTTTGTTTCTAGATGTATACATTTACATTCACTCATATTAAAATGCATAGTTTGCTTGTGCCCAGTTTACCAACTGATCCAGATTGCTCTGTATTAGTGACCTGTACTCTTCATTTTTTACCACTCCCCCAATTTTTGTGTCATCTGCAAACTTTATTAGTGATGATTTTATGATTTCTTCCAGGTCATTGATAAAAATGTTAAATAGTGTAGGATCAAGAACCGATCCCAGTGGGACTTCGCTGGAAACACACCAGCTCCATGACAATGCCCTGTTTACAATTATTTTTCAAGACCAATCAGTTAGCCAGTTTTTAATCCTTGCTATGTGTGCCATGTTCACTTTATGTGGTTCTATTTTTCTAATCAAAATGTAATGTGGCACCAAGTTACTAGAGAACATGGCTCCTAGGTTGGGTGGCTCCTGCAGAGCTTCAGCATAAGAACATAAGAACGGCCATACTGGGTCAGACAAAAGGTCAATATAGCCCAGTATCCTGTCTTCCGACAGTGGTCAGTGCCAGGTGTCCCAGAGGGAATGAACAGAACAGGTAATCATCGAGAGATCCATCCCCTGTCACCCACTCCCCATTTCTGGCAAACAGAGACTAGGGACACCATCCCTGCCCATCCTGGCTAACAGCTATTGATGGCTATTAGCCAGGATGGACACAACTCCAGCGTGTGTGCTGAGTAGGGGAAGCAGTATCCAAACCAGAGAGGAGCTGGCTTAGGGAAGCCCCAGACAGCAGCCACAGCAGCTCCAACCCATGCTCCTCTTAATGCTGCATTGGGGTGGGTATCTGAATTAATATAGTACATTAAATACAGTAAAGATTGTGAGGCACTCAGATACTATGGTGAGGGGAGCCATACAAGTACCTAAGATAATGTAAGTGAAGATTTGGAAAGGATGGGAGTGTGTCACACTCTCCAGCAGGACACTGACCAGATGTCCTCTGCCTCCTCACTCACTGCTCTGAGCTCTATACTGAGTCCATACAGGAGGGGACAAGGGGCGGTGGACCAAGGAGAATGACTTAGAAGGCCCAGAAAAGCAGGGAGCACAGAACCTCGGGAAGGGTCAGGAGAACCAGGCAAAACTGTGTTCAGAGGAGGCAGTAGATAGGGACTGTCTGGGAGCCTGAGGAAAGTGTCCACAGGGAACAGGAAGAAGTAGAAGAGGCCCTACCTTTGTGTGTACATTTTCCATCTGGAAACGCGTGCACACACACACACACACACACACACACACGGTAAGGACTAAGGATGGCACATTCTGAAAATAATTAAACAAACAACAAAAAAGGAAGAAATACACAATAAATAACTAACATAAATAAACACAATTTTTGTTTTAAATCTTATCTCAGTCCCCTGATGGTCAAATTTGTAGGTTGGCAAAAGTCTGTGTTGTTGACAAAACAGAATTTAATATTTGCAATTTTCAACAAAACCGTGAACAAGTTAGTGATTCTTCTTCTGTAAACACCAACCAGCCCAGAAACGGATACACGTGGGCTGTGGACATTCACATATTATTGGGAAACAGACACTAGAACAGTACTGTTTGTACTGTAACTTGGCACTGTTATAGGCAGATGCCAGATCACTTGAAGATTAAAAAGTTTTAAAGTTAGAGGTAGGTTTGATATCAACAGCATGAGGAAAACAAAGGAATCCCCTAAAATGCATCGGTTCACATAGATTCTAGACTTATCCAACAAACACAAATTCTGCAAAGCCTACAGATACTGATTAAAGGAAAGCTATGTCCTCTTCTTGTTATTGATAATAGAGTTTTATAGCATCCATAATTGTGCTTGGCATTTCACACAAGATACAAGTCACAGCTCTGATGAACTTACAATTTAATATTGCAATCCTGCAACAACTTAAAGAACTTAAAGAACATGCAAATCTTTAAGTACATGAGCAATCCCTGAGCCTACTCACATGCTTAAAGTTAAGCAGTTTTATAAGTCTTTGCAGGATCAGTGCCTATGAGTGAAATTTATGCCTGTGCAGAAGGCTAGTACAAATATTATTCACCATTTAAGTCACATGTAAATCCTCCAAATAGGGCTCCCCTGGAATTTAAGAGGTACCCAGGCCTTGCACTTGCCTTCTGCACAGGGGTAAATTGCATGTGCTAAATGGTGTACCTGACAGACAAGGAGGGGGCAAGGGACAAGGGTTGCAGAAATAAAATGGTGCTGTTACTGTGTGTAAGCATACACATGCCTACATGGTTCACAAGTATTTATATTAAAAAATGTCAACACACTTCTATTTTTATATTATAACAATGCAGTGTAAGAGACAAAAAATATTTATTTTTAGAAATGGGGGAAAGAAAATAGAATAATGAATAATGACCCAGATAATGGACCAGATTCTGATCTCAGTTACACCGATATAAATGCAGAGTAACTCCATTGATGTCAATGCAGATTTTTTTGCATTTGTATCAGGTTAACAGAGACTGGAATCTGGTCCACAGTGATTGAGGTAAGTCAAATAGTCACAGGCTAGGGATTTCCAGATTTAGTGTGACTGGTTCGAGATAAAAAGATATTTCAGCATCTTTTGAAAACATGACTGCTAATGTAATTCCTGGTTAATGTTTATTAATTTATTTTCAGGAGGAAGGAGAGGGGAAAGGGCATTTATCTTTGAATATCTTTGTCTTTCCCCTTCAAAAACAGATTAATACTACTGCATTTATTCAAAAGGGAATGCGATTTCACCACACCACACCAATAAAGCTGAGAAGAAAGTCTCCATATTTCTTTTATCAGGAATTATATCATTGGAGCAAGAGTGCAGGGGAAGTTAGCACTGACTATTCTTTCACTATGCACCCAACCCACCAATAAATTAGGACACCTCTGAACTGACTGGCTTCACAAATTAAAATGTACTGATCTGTAGTGTTCTTAGTTTTGCGTAATGACTTTATTGCAGTATAATGAATTGCTGCTCTAGTCATGTCAGATAGGGTTCTCTTCACATAATTTATTTCTTACATACAGGAAAAATCAAAATCTCACATGCAAAAGAATATGGAACAAAGCAAGAAAATAAGTCTAATTACACGTTGTGGGTGTGAATGAACTGGTTCTTGGAGCTCCTTGGGTAGTGGGAGGAGGTGGCATTGTTGGAGGCGTCAGCCTGGATTGCGTCTTCACATCCACGGGTGAGTCTGGCATTGTGGAATGCTTCTCAGTGCGATCTGTAATATACCACATGAACACACTATTTTATTTCTCCAAATACATCAGTTCTGAATAAAAAGCTTAACCATGAACTAAGCAGCTTCAGCAGCTTCTGCGGAAGATAAACATATTTATCTACTTCCGCTTGTTTTTTCAAGATTACATCGTTGAAACTGCACTTAAGAAGGTGTAACACAGATAGGACCTCATTTATAAGCAGGGTCGTATTATCTTGTGTTTTTATTTCTAGCATGTGCAGATGCTACCCCAAAAACAGTATTGGAGCTGCAATAATGCCACCTCACTTGAAGGCTTTAACATTAGCCAAAAGGAGAAATTAGATGAAGAGTCAGGAAGGTAATAAATCCCCTTATGACAACTCTGGAAGAACAAAAACCTGAAGCGCTTTTGTACAGGTGAGATATTGGCCATAGCCAGCGCTCTTCATGACTGGTTTTCCCTGTAGCACATGCTGCCTTCTTCATCTTTTGTCTTTGTAAGTATAACGGATATCAGGGTTAATACTGCCTGTCTCCTGCCCAGGTTTACCAGTCCGCCTCCTGGTTCTTTTTTAAATCAACAAGAAATAAATACCATATGCCACATAACACAAGGTATCTTTGGCAGACACAGGACTCGTGCATTTATACTAGTTTATTATTAATATAAAAAACACTGTCAGCTGTTTCAACTTATACCTTTAACATCAAGGACAACTGCAGGCATCCTCCAATTTTGGGAAATTTAAAGAAGCAAGAAGAAAAAGGACTAGACAATTCTCCTGATGCAAGATATTTGCCACTGAAACTACAAGATTTAACTCTGTTTTACCAGCTTTTATACCTAAATTCAAGAGGTACATTTGAAAAAAAAAGAAAATCTTAAAATCTGTATATCAAGAATGGGCAAAACAAAGCAATACACCATTTACCTATTTAAGGCCACACTGTGATTGCCTTACTCACATCAGCAGTTCATTGAGACTCCTGGAGTAAGTAAGATGATCACATTTAGCCTTCAGTGGTCATTAGCTACTAATGTAACTTTTCCAAAGTTATTCCCCAGGAAAAACAATTGCAAAAATATTTGTTCTTGAGAAGATGAGGCCTTCAAACTGTCGATAAAAACAGATACAAGATACACACAAATACATACATAAAATTATATACACACATTATATTATATATAACATGCACATATGTGTATTAAAGAGGGATTCCAGTAATATATTTTTCAATAGAAATATTTTAAAGGACCTTTAGAAATAATACCAGTTCATTTAATTTAAAAAGAGCAGGTAATACCAAAGAATGTTGTGGTCCCAATCCCTTACTACTAAGAAACTACAGAAATATGACATGGCCACATATTCTGCAAAGTTTTGCAGTTGCAGAAACGATATTCAACATTTTCTTTCTCTTTTTGAAAAAAAGACCAGTTTCTATAAAGAGAGTTGTTAGTTTTTTTCAGACTTTAGAAATAAAAAACCCTAAGACTGAGAAAGTAAAACCATATGAGTGGAAGGGAATATACTTTGTAATCATAGCAGTAAAGAATCTGCAGTGTTGATCTAAGGTCAATAATCTCCGTAGTGTAGTAAACAGTGTCCAAAAAGACTGGCTGAAATTGTAAGGCATCTACACAGCCAGGTGAAGTGTGGTAACTCAAATAATGGGAGCAATTATGTTTTCCGTACAAATCTCTCTCTGTATTGCTATGCTGAAACATTTAAACCAACAACTGCAACAAATCATTTATTTAAAATAAAGAACTTTGGAAATTAGCCTCAAAATGTTAATTACTTTCTTAATAGTTTAATTTATCTCACACTCACCTCAACCAACCTCAGCAACAAGGGAATAAATAGCTTTCAACTCATGTTGCAGCTGAGGGAAAGAGGCACAGCAGTGAGTAGAGGCCCTCCTAAATAAAGGCAGATATTTCTGCCATGCCAAGAAAGGAGAGAGAAAGGGAGGCTTGCCAGAGCTGGCTGGGAGATAACAGTGGGAACTGCTGGTCCATCTGGTTTTCATTCTGCTAACACTCACATTGAACTGTTAGAGAAGGCAGTCCAGGTACACAGATTTGAAGCATGTGGGAGCACAGACACAGCCAGGGAGAAGATGGAGGTGGGTGGAGGAAAGAGAGAGAGAAGTCAAAACTCCACTGGCAGTCTGCTGGTCACACTGAGCAGGCACAATCTATATCCTCCCGTTCAACTGTTGATAACTAAAAGCAATTCTGCTATCATGAACAATCACAACTTCTTCCTTCCTCCCCGCAAATCCACTTAGCTTTTGATCTGGCCTGAATTTTGGAACAATCCCTACTCAGAGGGAAAATGAGCACATTTAAGAAACAGACTAGAATGGTTTATATTTTGTTATTTAAATGGACCATGTAGTTGCACTAGTGTATTGTTTTTGTGCTCCAGTTTCAGATTTTCAATATATTATAACCTGTTCATGTAACGATCCAGGATTTATTTTTAAATGATTTTTATTCACTAATTTATTATGTCCTTAAGCACGTAGGTTTATCTTTAATTACAGTAGTAAGTATAACTATTGTTACCCAGAAATGCATTAGCACCACTCCTGTTAGGGTGACCACCTTTTCAAAAGGCAAAAGGGGGACTCATGCAGGAGTCCCGCTCCTCTCTGTGGCCCCAGCTCTGCCCCCTCCTCCCTGAGCCACCACCCCTGCTTCTCCTCATCCCCCCGAAGCCCTGCACCCTGCCAGGCTGGAAGCCAGAGCCAGGCCATGGTAAGAGCTGCCTAGGGAGCCTGGGCTGCTGTGGGGAGCCCTGGACCCTCCACCTGCCCTGGGTGGGGGGGGGGAGATGGCGAGAGCAACCCCCAGCCCATGTCCCCAGGCAGGCCACCCAGGACAGGTGGAGCATCCAGAATTCCCCACAGCAGGGCCTTGGAGGGAAGAGGAGGAGCAGGGGGCAGGGTCTTGTGATGAGGGGAGCTAAGGCCCACCTCAGCCATCCTGCCTCCCACCATAAAAAGGCTGGTGGTACCCCTGAGCCTCAGGCACATATGGAGTGCGCTGCAGGGAATCTGGGTCAAATGCTGTCCCGGAGTCATTGGGGAGTGGGACTTGAACTCTGCATTTTGGGACTGTCCCGCCCAATTCTAACAATGCCACACCTGGCAGACTCGAGGCTGCATGCTCTCCTGAAAAGGGTAGGGTTTGCAGTGCCAGAAAGGAAACAGACTGCAAAGCTTGCTCTTCTGCCTGGAAGGCACAGAACAACCACACAGATATTGAGCCATCCCAGGAGGATGGCCTTCTCCTCTGTACTTGTGTTGGGGACAGGAAGACAGGATACTGGGCTAAATGGATCTTTGGTCTGACCCACTATGGCCATTCTTATGTTCTCATGTTCTTCCTCTGGCACAAAAGCTCCTGCTGCTGCCACCATTAACTCTCCACCCTTTCCCTGAGTTGTAGATTCCCAGACATGTGCGTACAGCAGGTGCTTCCCAATTTTACTTACCCACCACAAACTTGCAGAGCCCTGACTACTCTGATTTCAAACACAGGGGCTCCTCAAAGAAGATAAAGGAGTAGAGAGGTGAAGAAGAATTCTGAAGTGTCACCGCTTATACACACTATTACAAATAGTAATAGGGAGGGATAGCTCCCCATTACTGGGGAGGGATAGCTCAGTGGTTTGCGCATTGGCCTGCTAAACCCAGGATTGTGAGTTCAATTCTTAAGGGGGCCAATGAGGGTTCTGGGGCAAAATCAGTACTTGGTTCTGCTAGTGAAGGCAGGGGGCTGGACTCAATGACCTGTCAGGGTCCCTTCCAGCTCTAAGAGATAGAATAACAAGAATTTATAATAAATGGAGATATTCCTAATTGTGAGCCTTGTAATATTTGTTGTTTTTTTAAAGCCCCAGGTTCTGGAGTCATGTGATTATTACATGAGACTCTTTTCTTTTCTTTTTTAAAATGAAAATTGAAACAGTGTTCACCCTCATAGTTGCAAAGAAAAGCCTAAAAATGTGAACCCTAAAAGACTCAAAAATCTAAAGACAAATAAAAAGGAGCCAACATTTATTATTGTTAAAATCTCATTTTGGAGGGCTCATGTTTTTTGGATGCTTGGGGTTTGTAATACTGCCTATACAGTCTTCACACAAGTCCCATGTGGATTTTTTCATCTCTGTACATATAAAGGGGAGGGAGAGCATCCACTCCACAGCATAAAGAGGAAGTAGGGTTACCAGGCATCCGGTTTTCGACTAGAACGCCTGGTCGAAAGGGGACCCTGGCAGCTCCGGTCAGTACCACTGACCGGGATGTTTAAAGTCCGTTCGGCAGTTCTGCGGGTCTAAGGCAGGCTAGTCCCTACCTGTCCTGGCACCGTGCTGCACCCTGGAAGCGGCCAGCGCGCAGTGCCCCCGCCCTGAGCATCGGCTCCACACTCCCAATGGCCAGGAACCGCAGCTAATGGGAGCTGGGGGATAGGGGATGCGTGTGGGTGAGAGCAGCGCACAGAGCCTTCTGCTTTGCCCTCCCCCCCAAACCTCCCTCCCCACCTAGAAGCCGGACCTGCTGGCCGCTTCCAGGGTGCAGCGTGGAGCCAGGACAGGCAGGGAGCCTGCCTTACCCTTGCTGCGCCGCTGACCGGGAGCCGCCTGAGGTAAGCCTGCGACCCAACCCTGACTCCCAACCCCTTGCCCCAAACCTGAGCCCCCCCCCAAACCCAGAGCCCCCTCCTGCACCCATAACCCCTCATCCCCAGCCCCACCCGAGAGCCCGCACCCCCAGCCTAGAGCTCATACCCCCTCCTGCACCCCAACCCCTGCCCCAATCCAGTGAAAGTGAGTGAGGGTGGGGAGAGTAAGCCACCAAGGAAGGGGAAATGTAGTGGGTGGGGGTGGGACCTCGGGGCAGGGGTAGTGCCTTGGGGAAGGGGTGGAGCTAGGGTGATCGGTTTTGTGCAATTAGAAATTTGGCAACCATAAGAGGAAGACATATTCACATATATGTTGGTTTAC